GTCTAGCCGATTAACACCACTTAGGAGGAAATGAGTAGAAGAGGGGAAATGGTTCATAGCGATGAGTTGAGGGGAAATTCACTAGAGGATGAGGACAGCAGCCTCAGGAGAGAAAATAAAATACAGGTCGACTTACGACCACAAGTGAGCCCCAAATTTCTGGTAAGTGAAACACGATGTGCCCCATTTTACGACCTCGCTTGCTGCTGTTGTGAACCGAATTGCCGCCACGGATAAGTTAGTCGTCCGTTGCCGAAGTAAACCTGGCCTCCCCGTTGACTTTGGTCCTCAGAAGGTCACAAAAGGTGACCGTCATAACTATGAACCAGTGGCCAAGCATCTGAATGTGGATAGCAGGAATGCTGCAAGAGGCTGTCCCTGTGAAAAGCGGTCCAAAAGTTCCCCTTTTCCCAGTCACTTCGAACGGTCCCTAAACAAAACGTTGTAAGTTGAGGGCTACCTGCAAATGCTATTGGGGGAGTTTAGCCCAGTGGTGGGATTCAATTTTTTTTTTACTACCGGTTCTGTGGGCGTGGCTTGGTGGGCGTGGCAGGGGAAGTATCCTGCAAAAGCCCCCTTCCCTCCCCCACCCCACTAGCCTGCTTTCCAGCTCCGTTCTCCTGTGCAGGGCAACCAAAGGAGACCCAGCCGATCAGCTGGGTTACTCCATGGGAGGCAGAGAAGAGATGGGGTTGGCAGGGCCAGTCAGTGGTGGGATTGGCCGGATCTCCGAAATACTCAAACTTTCTGCTACCGGTTCTAGAGAACTGGTCCAAACCGGCTGAATACCGACCTCCATTTTATCCCCTCTCTCCTGCTTACCCCGTAAGAGATATTCCAGGACATGAGATTTATTAGTAGATTAAACTGTCCACCACGGACCTCACTCCGTTCCTAAGAGGTCTGTACGGGAGCGTGTATAAGTGGCACCAGTGTGCCTGCTGTCCCTGTCCTGAAGTTCCCATTGATTCGTACTCATTGATTATGTGCACACTTATACACCTGTTTATTCCTATAGGTTTATACGTTATGTCCACAGTTGTTTTCTCATACATGCTTGACAAACTAAAATGAATAAAATAAATATAAAATAAATAAACGTGGGGCCGTCTGCTCGCCGGTACTCCCAGCCTCTCCCTTCAGCCCCATGCAACCTGACCTGGATCCTGCTAGCTCCAGCTTACCTCCCCCCTGCCACTCCTCAACAGCCCCCTCCCCACACCCCGGCGTTCCCACGGCCAAAGTACCACACAAGCGGCAGCCGGGGACTCTTTCCTCGGCTCCCCGAGAGAAAAGAGGCTTTGTTAGCCTGCCTAAGGGAGACAGCGTGAGAGCGGAGCCACCAAGCGCTGGGAAGCCCAAAGGACAAACGAGGTGGAACAAACTCCCTTCTCCCCCCCCCACTCCCTCCCCCCCCCATAAAACAAGGCAGAATGGCTGGGAAAAAAGGGGGGGGAGTCCTGCCCAAGATGGGGCCTATTGCTGCCTCCCAGGACTGTAGTAGCTGAAGGTCTGGGCTGGCCGCGAAAATCCAGCTTTTTTCACTGAACTGGGCCTGTCGAAGCTTTCTCCAAGTCTACCAACCCGATCAGGTGTGGGACGGATGTAAAGCAACCCTACAAGGCTCAGAAACATCTCCAGGTTGGCCTCCTCTGAGTACCAAACCCCCCCCCCAATTCTCAACCTCTCCCCATTATGGCGGGTCTGTAGTCCTACCATTCGGCAGGGGAGACGCGCGATAAAATTGGTACTTCTAGGAGCATCTCTGCAACTTCAAACTACACTCTCTTCTAGCACTGACGGCGTTACCTAGCTGGATAATGAAACGTCTGCAAGACGACCCGCTAACTCAGAGAACACAAGGGCCCCACTGTCATTGTTGTTCTCCTCCCTCCCTCCCACCCTCCTCCTCCTCTTCCTCCCTGTATACCGTACTCCTTTCTAACTTGAT